CACAGACAATGAAGACCTGTAATTTTTTTTATGTACAAAATGTATATTCCAATATGTATCGATGCCTTTTAGTTTTTCCAATGATTTTTACACTATATTCCCGCCTCCAGGGCCTTTTTGAATAAAAAAAAAAATAAGGAGGTGTTGCCTTGCTATGAAAAGTGCTTCCAGTTATTGTGGAATAAGATCGCACTCTTTCTGGGTGGGAGAAGAGGGTGTCCAAGATGATTTTAAAGGGTTTGGAGCGCCCTTACTAAGAGGCGAGGCTCAAGAGTCAGGGACTGTTCAGTCTAGAAAGAAGTCAGTTAAGTGGAGGCATGCCCTGACCTGGATAGCCCAGGCAAGCCCGATCTTGTCAGATCTCGGAAGCTAAGCAGGGACGACTCTGGCAAGTACTTGGATGGGAGACCTCCAAGGAATACCAGCAGCCGGGAGGCGGGGGCAGGCTTTATTCAGCCACCTCTCTGAATATCCTCCAGGTCCCCAGGAGGGGTCAGTCCAGGCCCGTAGCTACAGTGGGGCATCTCGGGGCTAGGCCCCCTGACTTGCTGGCATGGCCCCACAACTTTCCATCCAGCCCAGGGCCCCCGAGCAGCGACAGGTGCAGGGAAGGAGCCAGGTGTTCTGTTAATTCGATTAGCCAGTGCCCCCTAAGAAATTTAAAAGCCCCCCCCACTTTAAAAATCCTTGCTACGGGCTTGGGTTGGTCACCAGAGGTGGCCATGACTTCCAGGCGCACACACACTCACATACATACACACACACACACACACACACACATATAAAGAAATACAAAACAATTATAAAATTATGCATGGGATTAGAGGGAGCGGACAAAGAAAACTTTTTTGTCCCTTTCCCGTAATATTTGAACTCTGGGGGCACCCAATGACAGGCAATAGATTTGGAACAGAATCCCCACTGGGGAGGGCGGGATATAAATGTGAAAAATGAATAAATAAAAGAGAGTACTTAAAATGCAGAGGTGGCCACAGGCATAGGTAAAAGGTAAAGGTTCCCTTGCTCGAAAGCCAGTCGAATCCGACTCTAGGGGTGCGGTGTTCATCTCCGTTTCCAAGCCGAAGAGCCAGCGCTGTCCGAAGACGTTTCTGTGGTCATGTGGCCGGCATGACTAAAAACCAAGGCGCACGGAACGCTGTTACCTTCCCAGCAAAGTGGTACCTATTTATCTACTTGCAATTTCTTGCTTTCGAACTGCGAGGTTGGCAGGAGCTGGAACTAGAGACGGGAGCTCCCTCCGTCATGCGGCAACCCGGGTCTCAAACTGCTGAACTACCAACCTTCCACAGCCTGCAGTTCAGCGTCTTAACCACTTGAGCCACCGCAGCTCCGGCCACATAAAGGCATAGATGGCTTTAAAAGAGGACAGGACAAAATCATGGAGGAGAAGTCCATCAGGGAACCTCCACATTCAGAGGCAGTAAACCTCTGAAAGCTAGTGCTAGGAAGCAACAATCAGGGGTCTATTTGTTAGCCCTTAGAGTGGTCATTCTCCTAGGGTCTGATTCTTTCACAAAGTCTCTAAAGAGGGGTCCCCACCCCTTTTGAGGCTGCAGGCTAGGCCTGCCAAATTGCGGGGGGGGGGGATCTGCATGTCTTTGCAGAATCCTTGCCGTGGGGACGGCGAGACACGTTGCACCGCCGTCGCCAGGACATGACGCTATGCGTCACTCTGACAACAGGGCTGTTTGGAACCCCGTTGCCACAGCGACGCGTAGCGTCAGATCCTGGCGACGGCGGGTGCAACATGTCTCGCTGTCCCCGCGGCAAGGATTCTGTGAAGACCTACGATCCCCCGCCGCGACCTGGCAACCCTACTGCAGGCGCCTTTGGAATTTTGAGAGGGAGTGATGAGCGCCTCCCCCAAGATGGCTGCCACAGGAGATAGAGCCAAACCCACAGGAGATAGCTGCCAAACTCAATACCTCCCTCCTCACTTTGCAAAAGAATCACAGGTGGGGAATAAAAAGAAATGAAGGAAAGCCTGAGGGAAGGAAGGGAGAAAAAGAAGGGGGGAGAAAAGGAAGAAAAACCTGAAGGTGGAATGGAACCACAAGTCTATGGATGCTCACCAGTCTTCCTGCTCCTCCAGTGGCAGCTGCTGGCTAGGGCTCTTTTTGTAGCAGGAACTCCTTTGCATATTAGGCCACACACCCCCAACGTAGCCAATCCTCCAGGAGCTGACAGAGCTCTTCTTACAGAGGCTACTGTAAGATCCTGGCTACATTAGGGGTGTGTGGCCTAATATGCAAAGGAGTTCCTGCTACAAAAAGAGCCCCTTTTCGTTTGAATGAAGGCCCTGCCTTATAAAGTCCCCTTCCACTTTCTGAAAAGCTCGGCGGGCAGTAGAAGAAGTGCTGGCAGGCCATCGTGGCACTCACATGCACCATGTTGTGAAACTCTGTTCTGGAAGTTAAATCCGTGTGGGGAGTGCACGCACCTTGCTTCTGTACGTTCCCCTGTCACTCCACATGCATGAACGTTAAGGTGCAAGGCAGTATGCAGACTGCAGTTTCACCTGCCGAGGAGCATTTGGCATTCTCGATCATCTTTTCCTGGACAGTTATGTTTTAATATGTCTTCAGCTTGAAAAGCACCCATCCTGCTCTCAGATCAGAGACAGGCAAGCACTTTTATTTATTTGCTTGCTTTGTTGTAAAAGTCTGAGTCTCACTTTTCCTAGAGTTCAAAGTGGCTCACAGCTGCATTCAAACAACTTCACGGAGGAGGTCCAAACTTACAGCAACAGCCGCTTGAGTCAATTTTATGTCCAGTGTTAAAATACCGAGCAGTGTCTCCATGTAGAAACATAGAGACGTGGGGTAGATCCTTTAGGGTTAAGGTTTGGGCAGTGACCCTTACCATTTATTTATTTTAAAATATTTATAAGCCCGCCTTTCTCCCAAAGTAGGTTACAGATTAAAGACAATGGGCACTTTCATACATGCACTTTCAATCCACTTTCAATGCAACTTTGTGGATGTGGATTTTGCTCTTTTACACAGTAAAATCAAGTTCTCTGTCTATATCATCTGTCTATTGATATGTATCATCTATCTCTATCACCTATCTATCTATATCTATCATCTGTCAATATCATCTATATCATCTATCATCATCATCATCTGTCTCTGTCTGTCTATCTATATCATCTATCTATATTATCTCTCTGTCATTCATCTCTATCTAATCTATCATCTGTCTAATCTAGCATCTATCTATATCATCTGCTGACCTACTTACCTACCTATCATCTATCTAGTACTCCTTATATGGCTATTGCCTTAAGCAGAAGTTAGAACCAGTATTATTTCTCTTATATTTGATTATTGTGCCTATGAATTTTGCCGCTGAGAGGGTGACATGATCACCGGTATCCAATAGTAGCCATGACACCTGGGCTCACACATTTAGCAATTCCATATTTTAAAGTAATTTTTTGTTGTTGTTCAGTCACACAGTCAAGTCCAACTCTTTGCAACCCCATGGGACCACATCATGCCAGGCCCTCTTGTCTTCCGCCATCCTCTGGAGTTTGCTCAATTTCATGTTCATTGCATCAATAACACTGTCTTAACCATCTCATCCTTTGCCATCCCCGTCTTCTTTTACCTTCAATCATTCCCAGCATCAGGGTCTTCTCCAGGGCACTGTTCCCTCTAAGCTGAGTTAGTGTGAGCTAGCTCACAGTTTTTGAGCCTCTGGCTCACACATTTTTGTCTTAGCTCAGGAAGGATGGCTCCAGAGCAAGCTAATTTATGCAGCAGGCAAATCGCTTGCTCACAACTTTAATGCCAGTAGCTCACAAAGTAGAATTTTTGCTCACGAGACTCCGCAGCTTAGAGGGAACATTGCTCCAGGGCTATTTTTGGGCAGGAACGCACAGCAACAGAGTTCCAGCTGGCTCCTGAGTTGGCCACGCCCAGCAGGAACTCATTAGCATGTATATTGTCACCCTGCTTATTTAATTCATATGCAGAGTACGATTTCCCATTCTATTTGTCAAGGATTGATGGGGGCCGGGTGCCACCCCAAAATATATGCACAGGATTTAAGAGGGTGGAAATTATTGGGATATTTGGTTAATATAGCAGAGTTTCGCACCATGAAAGCATCTATTCTTTGGCGCTCAGGCTTCCTTATGGTCCAACTCTCACAGCCATATATTACTACTGGGAATACCATCGTTCTGACCATATAGACTTTTGTTGGCAGGGTGATGTCTCTACTTTTTATGATGCTGTCTAGGTTTGCCATTGGTTTCCTCCCAAGGAGCAGGTGTCTTTTAATTTCATGGCTGCAGTCACTGTCTGCAGTGATCTTGGATCCCAGGAATGTGAATTCTGTCACTGGTTCCATGACTTCCCCTTCTGTTTGCCAAGGAGTGATGAGGCCAGATGCCATGATCTTAGTATTTTTGATGTTGAGTTTCAAGCCAATTTTTGCACTCTCCTCTTTCATCATGAGCAAGAGGCTCTTTAGGTCCTCTTCACTTTCTGCCATTAGAGGGGTATCGTCTGCATATCTGAGGTTATTGATGTTTTTCCCGGCAAACCTAAATTCCGGCTTGTGATGTACTCTGCATATGAATGTTGGCAATTTGATCTCTAGTTCCTCCACCTCTTCGAAACCCAGATTGTACTTCTGGCAGTTCTCTATCCACGTACCTCTGAAGACTAGCTTGTAGGATCTTGAGCATAACCTTGCTATCGTGTGAAATGAGTGCAATTGTGTGATAGTTTGAACATTCCTTGGCATTGCCCTTCTTTGGGATTGGAATGTAAACTGACCTTTTCCAATCCTGTGGCCACTGTTGTGTTTTCCAAATTTGCTGGCATATTGAGTGCAGCCCTTTAACAGCATCATCTTTTAGGATTTTGAATAGCTCAGCCTAGATACTGTCATCTCCGCTAGCTTTGTTGTTAGTAATGCTTTCTAAGGCCCA